TGTTCAGGGCTGCATTGCAACATTGATTGTTCGGATCACTGGTATCTAAGTCTTCCGTTGTGCTATCTTATACTTTGTATTGAAAGGTCGGTTCTTGTTCTGGTCTGCACTCTACAGTATGCAACAGTATGTGTGCGTGCTTGTTGACCTGCGGGCCTGTCTGAGTGCTTGTCGGTATGAGTGTGTGTGTGACCCGCAAGGGTACTTGCTTGTTTGGCAGGCCCGTAGGGCCGGTGCTTACCTGTGGCTGTGGCGTTGAGGGTTGCAGCAGGGGAAAACACTTGAGTGGTGGAGCCAGAGGCCCGCGCACTTAGAGCAGCGAAAGAACACTAAAGTAGCAGGTAGGCCGGTACCGCACCCAGTAGCAGTGGATGTGCCGGGTACTCGAGGCCGAGCAGAAGAAGACAAAGTCGGCATTTTTAGAGGCCCAGTAGCGGTAGGCTAGGTCTAGGCCAGTACCAGTTCATCCAGTCTGAGTCTAGAGCCCGTGCGGGCAATATCAGAGTCTGCAATGCTGTTTCCCTCCCGAAAGGGAGGAGGTACCGGTTGCTTGGGAGGCTGAGCGGCGTGGAAGTCACCGCCCAGGAGGCAAGTAGGCCGCTAAATCAAGAGGTACCGGTTGCTTGGGAGGCCGAGCGGCCTGGAAGTCACCGCCCAGGAGGCAAGTAGGCCGCTAAATCAAGAGGCCGAGGGAAGAGCCTGGCCTCTTTCTTCAGTGTGCAAGTTTGGTGACACGCTGCTGGAGCACTGGCTGGAGTAGCGCTGGGTACTACACCGCTGCTGGGAGGAAGAAGCCGGGAGCTTCCACCTTGGCTATGGTGGCGCTCTGCCGGTAGGAGGAGGAGGGAGAAGAGGACCAGGGAGGAGAGTGGCGTGGTACCTACCTGGCTATCGTGGACACCATCTTCATCACCTTGTTAGGCGCTGCCTCTGGAAGGCCCCAGTTGGGGTAGTGCCGCATCAAGGAAGCTCGGGACAGAGTCAGGCATGGCGGTTGAATGGGCAGCGGCATAGCTGCCTTGTGTTGACCTTGGGACAGGAGTGCAGCGACATAGCTGCTTTGCGTTGTCCTTTGCACATAGGTTGGAGCCCTCAGCGGTCCGCCATAGCCTCGGCTTAAATGAGGAGGGAGAGGAAGGGTGGCCATGGCTATGGTGGACCTCATGTGGTGCCTGCAGTAGAAGTGGGATTCGGACATTGATTCTGGTTCAGCCATTCAACATTATTATTGTTATTTCTTGTTTGAATAAGAGGGGAGGAGATAAGGAGGAGGAGATTGGTTGGCGAAGAAGAAGAGCCTTATCTTTGGTCTATGCTGGAGTACATCATCTTCTTCTTCTTCTTTCTTACTTCTTCTTCTTCTTTCCGTCTCTCTCCTCTCGAGTTCATTCATTTCTTTTTGCAATTGGACGGCATTGTACTTTCTGATGAATGTATACTTCGAAATTGGCCAGGATCGTAACATACTACACTTGATCTAATTTTAGCCAAAAGGCGGAGAAAGTTGCGCAGGGGCTATGCAAATCTTCTCTTTCTCTGCATCGTTCCAATTTTAACGGTTGTTTCGAAGGGACATATTTAAATTATATTTTAATGATATGTACCTACTTAGTATTTACCATACTTGCAAGCGGACGCCGTCTGGGCGGTTCCGCACGTGCGGCAGACCGCCGGACCGGACCCGCGCGGCGCACGAATGTGCGCCCGACGACCAGTTACGCCCCACCCCCCAAAAAAAAATAAAAAAATGGCCCTGTCCGGTCCGGTCCGGGTCCGTCTGGTCCGGGGGGAGGGTGCCGCACACAACAAAGCGGACCGGACCGGACGCTCGTCCGGTCCGTCTGCTTGCAAGTACGGTATTTACTATTTGGTATTTAGTATTTAGCTGTTTAGGATCCTATTTTAGTTTGACACTGGTTGGTCCATGGTTCTATCGACAGTATGATCATGATAGCTGTATGTAGACTTAAAGATACCCCAAATACAGCTAGAATGACCGTATGTTGTATTCAGGGGAAGAATGGGACCAGCATTGGGGAATGTCGTTGGTCATTTGATCTGACGCAGGCCAGGGTCACCGCCATGGATGGCAATACATTACCCTATTTTCTTATGTTTGGTATGGACGTCCCCACAATGACACTGCATGCATTGGAGCGGTTCCGCCATTCTGACACCACGTGCGTCTCCCCTCCCCTCTCTCCCTTGGCCTTCTGGCGTCCTTCGTCCCCGTTCCTTAGGCGGAGTGTGTGTGTGTGTGTGTGTGTGTCATGTTGGAGATCACCGGATATAATAACGACCCTTTGGCTGTTCTCTTGTGACATAATAATGTTGGGTTGCAGAACGAGGCGAACAGATCGCTACCTGGTTGTGGGGAGGGAAGCTCCACGGATCGGACGAGAGTCAGCATAACTGCGTAAGTTAATGACTTCCTTCCTTGACTCTTGTTCTCTTTTTTTTTTTTTTTTTTTTTTTTTCAGGGTTGGGGGGGGGGTATACTCTTCTTGTCCCTTGATTTTTTTTTCTTTTTGGGTATACTCCGCTTCTTGTTCCTTGAACTGTATATAGTATTGTTGATCACTTGTCTGACTTTTCTCCCCATTGTCGTTCTCCTCCTCCTCCTCCTCCTCCTCCTCCTCCTCCCCCTCCCCCTCCACCTTTGGCAGTGCTGCTGCTGCTGCGGAGGCGGCGGAGGCTGCTTGTTCTTTGTGAGTGTTGTTTTCATGTGGCTTCCATGAAATTTGAACTTGACAACGCCGGGGTGCCACCTGGCAGCACATCCTGACAAGCTCGAAAGGGATTTGACATCGTTCGCAAGGTCCCGTTTCACCCTCTTCTTCTCGTCTCACTGCTACCATGACAACAACAAGCTAGCGCTTGGCTGAATCGCCCGACCAACCTGTCTCTTTTGACGTGCTTTTTCTTCTCGCTGTGAGCGGATTCCATCAGAGTTTCGACTCATGACAACCCTCATCTCTATGCTCATTAGCTCCTTGGGTGGAATCACCCGACCAACCGACCGCATCTCTGAACGTGCTCTTTCTTCTCTTGCCACCACCTCTCCCCCTGCCTGTCCCCTTCCTCCTCCTAAGTTATCGACTCTGGTGGCTTTGTGTCGCTATTGTCTTCCGTCGAATAGAATGCACGTCGTATGGCTGTCATAGCCGTACGCAGGGCAGCCTCTCAGTCTAGGCACAGCTATAATGACCGTACGTTCTGTTCACGGGAAGACAGCAACCTTTTTTGTGCATGCTGGTCATACATACCTCTTCTCAATTCTCTGGTTGTTTTTTTTTTCCAGTCTCACCGCTTTCGTTAAAAAAAAAATTAGATGGAAAGTCGCCGACAAAAGTGGAGGGGAAAGAAAATGGATGGGCATTCTGAATCGTCCACATCTTTTGCGGTATTATCTTTTTTTTTCTCTTTTTTTGTAATTTTCGGTCGCGTGTACACCGCACGCTGGTCGGTTCGTTTCTGCATGACCTGCACGCCATTTGCATTTCTCGGTCTATTTTCATGGGCGATGGCGACGAAAAATTTCGAGTGTGCCCACTAAAAACGTTTTCGTGTCCAAGAAAAAAGAAATGCGAAAACCGTTTTTGTCTGTAGAATGGATAGGAAGAATTTCAGACACACAGATCCGTCAGTCATGCTGTGGTAGTGATCGATCTGAAAATTGTGGATCTTTTTTTTTTCTTCTTTTTTTTTTCCCCCGTCGTTTGCTCTTTGCAGGACTCTGAAGAAGAAGTTGAAGGAACTGATGGCAGAATTCCAGGTATTGAGCAGTCTTTTTATTTTTTTATTTTTTTATTATTATTATTTTTTGTATGTCTGTTCGTCGAGTTTCTGCTGGTATTGAAGCAGTATCTGTCCCCACTTCAACCTTTTTGCTAACCAGTTATAAAACTGCTACAGGGGAAAAAAGGGAAAAAAAAGAAAAAACAAGAAAAAAAAGAGAACTGCTACTGATGCCACATCAGACAGACCCCTTTTCGATCGCTCTTCTGAAGGACTTTATGTTTGGGGCAAAATGGGACTTGAGCATACTTTTGAGTCTTGACATCATACCTGAACTGGAACTGTGCACGAAGTAAAATTTCCAAGAGAACGGTTTACATATTTTCTCTTAGGGAAAAAAAAAAACAAAAAAAAAACGAACTAACTTCAACTAAAAAAGGAAACAACTGTAGAAACTTGTTGAGAAGGGATGGATTTACCTCAAGCTCTTCTCCTAATGGGAACACTTTCCTATTTTGCTTGTGCCTAAGAAGGAAGGCGAGATCAGGCTTATCATCGATTGCTGAGGAAGGGGGGGGGGGGGGGGGGGGGGGGGGGGAAAACCCGGGTGCGGTCCGGAGGCGAACCCGAACGTGTTCGCCCGAGCGCAAACTAGCAGGCAAAACCCTCCGAACGCGAACATTAAAAAAAAAAAAAAAAAGTCCATAAAAATGGTTAAAAAAATTGAAAAAAATATATGTCATGTAAAACAACAATACAAGCAACTTTTGCCTTGGAGTCATGTTCAAATTCTTAGCCAAACGCGAGTTACAAATCAAAAACCGAAAAGAAAAGTTTTTTTTTTTTTTTTTTTTTTTTTTTCCCCGGAAAATAAAATATGTTCGCCTGAGCACGTTCGCGAGCTGTTCGCACGAACGCGTGAACGTGGAGGGGCGCGAACACATTCGCCGTGCTATGCAGGAAGGGAGTTAGGGAGGGAGTTTTGTATGACATTTGGCGATGATTCCTATTGTTCAGCGCTCCCCCTCCTCCGCTCGATGCTTTCTTACGCTCTTGCCGGCAAAACCCTTGGATGCAGGGATGGAATCCCTGCATGTTGCTGTTTACATCTACTGCTTGCCTTTTTTCTTTTTTTTCATCTGACGAGACTGATGTCGGACATCTGACACAACCGCTCTTCTTCTGTTTTTTAATCCCTGAGTGTCGTTTGCATGCCAGCTGCGTCTCTTTGTCGGACATCTGACATCTGACATCTGACATCTGACAAACCTCTCTGGTGGTTTGACCGTGAACTGTCGGGATCGGTGTATGCAGACTTTGAGGCAAAGGTTCAACGATGACTACCGAGAAGTCGTGAAACGAAGGTACTTCACAGGTGCGATACTCTTATTTTGGTACTTAGTTTCATCTCTCACAACAGCAAACTCCACTCCCCTTCCTCCACACTTGCCCCTCCTCCTCCCCCCGACCGACTACCCCTCTCTCCAGTTCGCTGATCGAAAGTTTGGGAGTCCGGAGCTGATCTGCAGTTCAAATCGCCTTAGGCCTAAGGTCATTAGGAAAAGGTCTCCCTGGATGATGATGAGACGACCCTCAAAGGAGGGTTTGTTTGTTTGTTTGTTTGTTTTTTTGTGGGGGTGGGGTGGGGTTAGGGGGGCGCGGGGCAAGTTCTGTGTCCACTCTGGTGTGATTGCTCTTAGGTCCGTGCTTCTCGTCGTGGCAGACCTGAACCTCTTTCCTCTGCTCATTGTCCTGGCCTGTCATGTCATCCCTCACCTTTTCGTTCTCCTCCTCCTCCTCGTCCTCGTCCTCCTTCTCTCCTTCATACTGTGTTTACGATACAGTGCAATGCTATTAGGAGACTAGTGGTTGAATTGACCGGAGCTTATTTCACTGCAGCAGCAACCATGATTATAGCGGTGCCAGCTGGAGTCGAGATATGTGCAGTTGTATCACAACTATACCTTCTCCATCCATGCACCCATCACAATTCGTTCCCTCTCTCTGTTTTCTAATCGGTTTCAGACTTGTCGTCCCGCTCGACCAGATCCATTCCCTGCCCCCTTCTGCTTCACCTACTTTTGTGTCACCACTCTTCCGTTGTGTCGCTCCCCTCCATGCACCAATCACAATTCGATCCCTTTCTCTGTTTTCTTCTCAGTTTCACTGTTTCAGTCTTGTCGTCCCGCTCAACCAGATCATTCCCTGCCCCCTTCTGCTTCGCCTACCTTCGCGTCACTCCGTGTTGCTCCCCCCCC